AGGGGGCCCGAGGCTAGGAAGGACCCTGGAAATATGCTCCTGCTCCCCACCCTCAAGCTGAGGTTCCTAGAATTCCACAATCTCCTTGGCTGAGAAGGTTTCTTCAGGGTGGAGGAGTACGAAAGTGCAATATGACAAGCCAAAAAAGATGCTTGTAAGTGAGATGGCAGACCACGCCACTGTAAACATTTTTAGAAATTTGTAAAAACTTTTAGCAAGTTAATGAATCCCGGCTTTTCCACAGTATGTACTGTATGGGCAGCACGTCTTTTGCAATATACATCGCGACAGCGTTTGTCGTCGCCTTCCATCGTGCCCCATTCTTATCATATGGCACACAATTCGAAAACGTGTCAGGGACGGTTGCTTGCTTAACTTTGGATGTTGTGCTGGTGCTGCGGCTATTTTCATTTCGCTGGGAGCTGCACTTCTCCCACTCCGCTGCGTGCCTCTGCTTTAGGTGCTGAAATAAATTTGTCGTGCTGCTTCCTTTGGTTGCAACAGTTTTTAAACAGACTTTGCAACGGGGACTTGTTTGGTCAGTGTCCAACGGCGCAAAACCGCACCAATTCCATATTACAGATGTAGCAACACCTTTCTTGGGCACAAGCTCCAGCTTTTCCCCTGTTGTTGCCATGTTGTTTGTGAATCCGCTACAGTGTTTGGGTGCGCGCGCTAATATACCCGTGAAGGACGGTGCGTCGCATTAGTTCCGCTCTTGGCGCTCGCGTGTAAAATAAGTAATAAAATCGATTTTCATAAAAACACATCATCCTGAACTATAAATTCGAATTAATCTATAAAATCCATGTATCGCCCACCTCTAAATGTATATGGTGTTTTAATCATAATTTTTAAAAGAATAATAATTAGTTGAAAAAATATTTCTTATTAGTAATTTTTTTATCAATTACTAGACATTTCAGGGGACCCCATTAGAATTACAGGTGACCCCACATGGGGTCTGGAGAGTTTCCTGCATTGAACACATAAATACCCCCCTCCCCACCACCTTTCCCCACCTCCAAGGCTACAATGAGTAGTAAATTCAAAGAAGAAACAAGGAATCAGAAAGAATTCAGGAAATTTCTAGTTTCCCGAACCTCACTTGTGGGTTTCTGGTCATGTTAGGTTTATATAAATTATATATCAATCCATCCACAAACGGGTGAACAGAAAACTCATTGCTTTTAAATATGGAAACCGTTCCTTGTTCCATCTTTGTTCTTCCGGGTATTCAAGCATAAATCTGATATTTGCCCTATGACTGATGACACTTATAAATGTGATGCACATACAGCCGACGTTTTAATGTAACAACATTATTTGGAAGGTAACAGACATGGCAGAACAGAGGAGGGTGCCGAGCGAACATGCTTGCTTGCTTACGTGTTTGAATATTTAATATTGGAATGATGACACTTCTGATGTGAATGAGTGCAACGGCGTCCCCGATATACAACAGGGTGAAGTTCAGGACAGACAAATGATATGCTTAAAAAAACACCCGGCTAGCTGAGCGCTTGGCTAAAACGCCAGCATCTGTCTGTTAAGCGCTTGGGGCCCTGCACGGCATTCTACCACTGCTTTGGAGAGCAGTAACTGACCCCGGGCTATCAGCGGAGCCCCCCGTTAGTTGACTGAACAGCAGCTGACCTCTGGGGAGCAGTAACTGACCCCGGGCTATCAGCGGAGCACCCCGTTAGTTGACTGAACAGCAGCTGACCCCTGGCCTACTGGCCGGCGTCTCACTGCGGGAGAACCAGCTGCCATGTACAGTAGATGTCGTAAGTCATCAATATTTAACCTGTGACTCGATCCGCTTGGAAACGGCGTGGCACCCCCAATGATCCACACCTTGACGTGCCCCAGGGCTTGGTGAAGGTTATACCCAGGGATAGCATCCCAGCGTGAAAGCCACACCAGTGGCCCCTGGTTCATGTTCCTCCTCCCGTAGGATGCTGGCTTCTTCTAGGACTTTCTTTGTTCCGCTGCCATACACTTAGAGGTCGCTCTTTGGTGCGTGAAGGCATGCTAATGCAGTTAGCCTCATTGTCAAGTGCTGATGAAGACATACACCGCCCTCAAGTAGACCGAGGCCTGCCCTTTATTCGTCTTTGGCCCTGCGACCATTGCCGGGATCCCGTATGCTATCTTTCTGCAAATCTTTCTGCTGATGATGTAACAAAGGATTGCTCTGCCTCTGGGAAATACCAAACACTTTACTGCACCTATGTCTGTGAACAGTGAGTACAGGTACAGGTCAGCGGACTGGGTGCCACATTCAATCTGAATAGTTACAAAAAACCAAAAACAACACACTGTCACTGTTACTGCTGGTCCGCCCCCATGTTGCTGTTGCTCCGCCCCATGTTGCCCCGCCCCCATGTTGCTGTTGCTCCGCCCCATGCTGATGTTGCCCCGCCCCCATGTTGCTGTTGCTCCGCCCCCATGTTACCCCGCCCACATGTTGATGTTGCCCCGCCCCCATGCTGCTGTTGCTCCGCCCCATGTTGCCCGCCCCATGTTGCTCTTGCCCCGCCTCCCATGTTGCTGCTTGCCCGCCTCCATGTTGCTGTTGCTCCGCCCAATGTTGCCCCGCCCCCATGTTGCTGTTGCCCCGCTTCCCATGTTGCTGNCTGCTTGCCCGCCTCCATGTTGCTGTTGCTCCGCCCAATGTTGCCCCGCCCCCATGTTGCTGTTGCCCCGCTTCCCATGTTGCTGCTTGCCCGCCCCCATGTTGCTGTTGCCCAGCCCCTGCCCCTGAGCCCCTGCTGGTGTGTATGATTACATGTTTAATGGCAGGGCCCTGTCAGCAGCAGGACCGAGCCACATCAGGGTCAGAATCTCTGCAGTTATTCCGAGGCCCATCTTGTTTTACACCTCTTAAATTATACAGCGCTTTGTCTAGACCTTCACTACTGCATTATTTCTAATGCAAGATGTGGAAATATGTTCTAAGTCCATTATGCTCAGGCCTGAAGCTTTGTGTCCTTCTGTGGGGAACTGAGGGTTACCGGATGGCTTTGCAGGTTCTTGGATCGGTCCGGTCCTTAGCCTTCCTGTAAAACTTCCTGTGACACTGTCATCCTGAACGTTGGCTATATGGCACACTTCCTGTAGCACAACATAACTGTCATAAACACACTTCCTGTAGCGCATCATAACTGTCATAAACACACTTCCTGTAGCGCATCATAACTGTCATAAACACACTTCCTGTAGCGC